CCCCCCCCCCCCGAGCCTAAATACAATCGGCAGAAGCAGCTAAACAACAAAAGAGAGCGATTATACAACAAACAAACACAACATCCCGTGAAAGCGACCTAATGAGTGGATGAGTTTACCCTTTTTGGTGTGATGACATTTAATGTCCCTGACAACCTCTGTAGTTCCATTTAGCCACTTGTTAGCAACCGCCTTTTACAAGCAAGTGAAAGCTTTAAAAAAATTCTTAAGTTGTTATTATGCATATATGGATGTATTTTATGTCGTAGAATCCAATGTGAATATCTTGAGCTTGTTTTAACCAAAGACATTTTTTCATTTTTTTTTTTTCAAATACCCAAATTTTTTTTTTAAAAACCCATTGTCTTCAAGTTGATTGTCCCGAAGTGCTAATCTAGCTGATTTATAGGTTTTGGCCTACAAAGATATGTCAATTCTTTTTTACATTTTCCTCAGAGGGTTCAAGTTAGGGAAATGTGCCTTCATGTTTTCCCGCTGGCTGCTCGTCAGTCATGGATGGCAACTGCTAAATAAATTAGGGTCACCCTCAGTAGGTCACACAAAGTTGTCATGATATGAGAGGGTGATAACATAACCCTTTTGTTCTTGTTTGGGTCTCCAGACCAGTGTTATCTTTCCTAGACCTGCTTGTGTTACTGAGGTTTTCATTTGCCATTCACAAGTGGTGGATTGATGTCAGGGTCAAGCAGACTGTTTCTCTGGGGTGATTTACAGAGGCCACTGCTTGCCTTACAAAGATTTCTGCATCATTGCTGCATCATTGTTTCCCTTCTCTCTGCCACTTTCTTCTTTAAAATTGATAAATGTTATTTTATTTAATCTTTTATTTTGCTAAAATGTTACACTATGTTTAATGTAGTTTTAGCTAATAACAGTAAACCATGCTTACAAAAAAATAAAATAAAATACAATTAAAATTTTAAAATCTTTGGAGACATTTAATCTTCTTTTTTTGTCCTAAACATTCTATATCACAACTGAATACAATTATTCCAAATACTAATGTACAGTGAATGTATCAGTGCAACTCAGTAACACATTTGTGTTATATCTGGCACATATGAGATGCAGGCACTGGCTGCAATCATGTAAATGAAAACATCTAATCATCAGCATAAATATTTATTCATGCATATTAGAACCCAGCCACCACATAAAGGTTTTCGCCTCCAAACAATGATTCAGTCTTTATGTAATTGTCCTCAGCCGAATGAACCCTTTTGGAATCAGACACGGTACTTTGAAACAATTGCAGCCTACTTTACACAGCACGATTCACTGCAACACTGATGAATAACTTAGCATGTCTTCTATGTGATTGAAATGCAATCCTCTCGTGTGCATCCTTACAACAGGGCATTTAAGTGCTTCCAAAGTCAGCTAGGTGCCACTGTATTAAGTGACTGGCTATTAAAGGAAATTGGAGACAGGAGCCTTTGACATGGTGCTGTTAGCATAATTAAGCCACTGTTAGCCACTGGGATGTTCCTAGAATATTTACCTTCACAACAGCACGATAACTCGCAATTATGCAGCAGTCAGCCAGAACATGCGGTACACGAAAACCATTGAGTGAGCAGAAGCTGGAATCCACTTTAAAGTAAAATGTCTCACCTTTGGCAAACTGCTTTGAAACACAATTAAACTGGCGAGAAGTCTATTGTGCCACGCAAACAAATGCAGGAAAAGAGAGGTATCATGGAACAATGGTTCAAATACAATCGCTTTGGGAAATAAGCAGCCATGAAAAAAAACAAAAAAACAATTTAACTGCTCAGCAATGATTTCACGCCAATTCATATTTATAGTATGTTACAGCAGTTACAGCATCCACGGAAATATAAAACGGTATAGTATAGTAGCAAAACTGACAAACATACACCCAAACTAAACTAAGCCTGAAAACAAGAGAAACAACTTTTCTTGCTCTGTTTTTGGTAATACCACAGTTTTTAGACATACTTTAAAGGTGAGCGTGATTTGACAAAGTACAACATGTTCCTGGATCAACATCCTTGTTGATCCTGGAACATCATTCCCATCAACCAATCAGAATTGAGAGATAACTTTTCAGGAAATGTCAGTTTTAGGCTTACAATCAGGATTCGGTGCTTCTACACCCTTGTTAATCAGCTATCATTTCCCTCTGATTTTAGGAATAAATTATGGGTAAGGTTAAGTTTAGGGAGCAGACAGCAGTTTAGCAGGGGCATTTCCATATGTGCCGCTGCACCCCATCTCAGAGCTGACCTCAGATGGCAAACACAGAGGCAGACGGCAGGCCAAATGCAGGCTGTCACTTCAGCAAATAAGGCTCTCAACTCTTTTAGACGTCCCCTGAAATTCCCTGTCCTGATAAATGGGACTCTGTTAGTTTTTGGCAGGCAGAGAGGCGGAAGTTGCAGCTACATAAAATTTAGCTGCGACAGCTTCTGTGATGAATTTTGGGCAGATTGCACTTCTGATGCATTTTTAGGTCTGTATAATGGAATATAATGTCACTACACATTGCATGTGTCAGCAATTAAATGTCCTCTGTGTGACTGAAAGCAAAACTAGTCTATCATGCATATTCAATCATGACAATTTTTTTTTTAAATAATTCAAACATTTGATTAAACAATCTACATAAGTCAAGTCACCTTTATTTATATAGCTCTTTAAACAATACAGATTGTGTCAAAGCAGCTTTACAGTGTCAAACAGGAAAAACGTGTGCTGATAATGCGAAAGGACAATAGAAAACAACCAGTTTGTCAGTTAAACAGACCTCAGGAGGAACCCCACCTGCACTCCTCCCACTCACCATCATGAACAGCACTGTGGCTGCGCCGCATCCAGTGTAGACAGCATCACTGATTATAATGAGTTCTATAGTATTTTGTCGCACCTCGCCACTCGCGTCTGGTGTAGACACGGTGTAACATTGGTTTTGCTTTGTTTCACAGAACTAATCGTTGCCTGGGTTCTGTACGTATGTGTGGGCGGAGCTATCAAATTAGGGGCGAGACCCTTTTGGGGTAGGGGCGTGCTTGTTTTGGTCATCGACATCGAGTCTGTTCTGTTCTGTGCACTTCAATAACTGTCTGGTTTGGTTCAGCTACAAAATCAGACATCAGAAGACTACAGAGAACGGTTCGGATTGCTGAAAGGATTATTGGTGCCCCCCTGCCTACCCTCCAAGAACTGTATACATCCAGAGTGAGGAAAAGGGCTCAGAAAATCACTCTGGATCCATCACATCCAAGCCATCTCCTTTTTGAACTTTTGCCATCTGGTCGGCGTTACAGAGCACCGAATACCAGGACAGCCAGGTACAATAACAGTTTCTTTCCCCAGGCAATCTACCTCATGAACATTTAATGTTCTCCCATTGTGCAATAAAAGTATGTGCAATAACCTTATACTTATTTATCACCCTAAATCCTAGTACATCCCTACAACTTATTTTTATTTATTTTTTATTTTATTCTATTCCTATTCTATCTATAGCACACATGTACATACAATTTATTCTTTTTTTTGTGGTTTATTTATATTTATGCATGTATTTTATTCACATCTTATTTTTATTATCTGTGTGTTGTTGTTGTCTCTGTGTACTTGAAGCTTGTGACACCAAAACAAATTCCTTGTATGTGCAAACATACTTGGCAATAAAGCTCTTTCTAACTTCTGATGAAGTGGACCAGAAACACAGTGTGGCTGCATTGCTCTTGGTCCAGATTTTCTGCAATTTAAAGAATACTACTTTAAAAATACTTTCAATTATGGGCCCTGTATTAATGATCCAATTTGAATGCATTACATAGGGTTTCCAGGCAGCAGCCTCTGGCTACCACTCTTCTACAGCAGTAATGATTGGTAGCCATATAGGCTCTCCCCACAGACCAAAGATATTGGCTATCGATGGCTGAATCTGAGAAAGTGACTGAATTCCAGATATACTCTTTTCCTCAGTAGGGATATAGAAAGAAAGTTTCGAATGAGACTGTGTTGGTGCCCGAGGCATTACAGATTTATCTGTTGGCCACTGAGATTATTTTGATGGGTTAACCCAGTGATTACTTCTAAATTATTTATTATTTTGGCATTTTAAGATTATGTTCTTTAATCAGTTCCAGATCCCATTTCACCCCAAAATCAAAAGGAAAATAATAATATCAATAATAATAATAATAATAATAATAATAATAATAATAATAAAATATAAATTAATTGAATCAAACATAACATTTTGAATGATAAAGATTAAAATAGTATTTTCTTGTTAAACACACTCCATTA